TCCTCAGAGGACAATTTATGGCAATAGATGCACATATCAAAAAAGAAGAAAGGGACAAAATCAAAACATTAACTACAGAACTCAAACAAATAGAAGTATCTGTAACTGTGCGCTCTACATGCTTTATTACATTTATTAATATATTTGCATACAGTCACATAGATGCATATGCATACACCTATATATACACATATAGAGTCCTTATGAGTTGGAATCAACTCAACGGCAGCAGGTTTCTACACATGTATGCTTGCATACATATATATATACCTGCACATTTTTTTTTATATTGTTTCAAAATTATATGTGCCATATAATGGCCTATTTTTATATGGCCCCAAGCTAAGAATGGTTTTTACATTTTAAAAGAATTGTTAGAAAAAGACCTAAGTGACCCATAAATCCTAAAATACTTTACTCTCTGGTCCTTTACAGAAAAAATTTGCCTTAGACCCTTGGCCCATATTTTCAGTCCCCAGGTTTTCTTCATAGATTTTATGCATTTCTGTTCAAGTTTTCCATGGAAGCAAAGTCATATTATAGGATGCTTCTTGAACTGAATTAGAGAGGCCACCAGAATCAGTTAAGGGGTGCTCTTCTCAGTCCCTGAAAAAGCTAACTAAACAGAGTATCCAGGCTGACCTCTCCCTAGCAGCTCAAGGAAATCACATTCCAGCCTCCTGCAGAGCTGAGGGTGGGTGAGGAGAAGATTGGTAAAAGTGCTCCTCAGAAAGGGTGATTTTAGCTAGACAATAACTTGTTTAGATTAAGGTACTGAAAAAGTCCACCAAGAAATAGTATGGAAATCATTACTCAATACTTGGATGAGAATCTGTGTCCGTAGAAGAACTCTGAATGTGCTGGCAAGAACACCTTATTTTTTCTTAATGAATTAAAATGGAGAAAAAGAAATGGAGTGAGGTAGTAGAAGTTCACTTAGCTCTTGGCAAATGGCAGGACCAATGAATTTATATATGTCCATTTATTTCTTTTTAAAAATTGTTTTGTTGGATATTTCTATTACTCTTAAGCCATGATCACTGTCTTAACACAAAGGTTTTAATCTTTTATTTAAGCCAAAAGATGATCTGTGTCCTTTGCTTCACCCAACTATGCATTGCTGGACTCCAACAAGTGACCTGTATGTTGGTTGTGAAGAGGGTCATCTTTTAATGATTAATGGAGATACTTTGAAGGTGACTGTGCTTAATAAGACAGAAGAACCACCACCTTTGGGTAAGAAACTGTTCTGCTTCATATTTCCAGAAGTGTAGCCATGCATGCTGTTTTGTATACATTTAAAGATGAAAGTTCTGGACCCCATTTTTCTCTGTGTCTAGTTAGTTACTAAGTCCTGTAGAATGCCTTATAGCTAGCTAATGTTTATTGAGTATTACTGAGTTTTAAGTGTTCTGCTGTCCCTTTATATGCATATTCTTGTAATCCTCAAAACAACATTATTAAGGAAATACTGTTTTTATTTCCATGATACATTTGAGAAAGTGGAGGCATTGAGAGGTTAGGAAACATGCCCAAATTCACATAACTAGTAAACAGTGGAGTTGGTGTACCTGAATCCAGGCAATACAACTTCCAAGGAATCCAAGTTCTTAGCTATTATGCTATATCCTTTCCTTTCCCCCAGTTACCAGCTCAAATGCCACCTCCTGCAGAAAGTTTTCCCCATCTGCCATGTCCCTCATCTACCCCTTCTCTCATTACCTGACTCATACTTCACTGACGAAACTGAGCTAATTATACCCTTTCCAGCCCCTAAACCCACTTAACCTTTCTCCATGATGACCTTCTTATTTTAAATCCAGCTGCCATCTTGAAAACCACCCTTGTGTTTCTTGGTTGAAATTTCAAAGATAATCTGGTCTGTTTTCCTTAGGTCTGGTGTCTATTCCTATCCAATCATACATGGCCAGGGCTGAGCCTGGGTCAAAGGAGCCAATGTCCACGTAGTAGAGGCAAGGTGTAGACCCTTTGAGAAGGGAGCCCACCAAGGCAAGCTCCCCAAACTTGCCCAATGCGCTGTCCACCTCCACTCCAATTGCCCTTATTATACATCTTGATTTCTGTAGCAACATTAGACTGATTTCACTGACCCGACCTAATCTATATTTAATCCAAACCAGGCAGCTCATTACTGCCAAACTGCCCTTCTTGAAGACCATTTTCATACATGCAACTGAAGGACTGCTCTGCCTTGATTTCAATGCCCTCCATAATCTGATCCCATCCATGCCATTAATTATTTCCTACTACTTCCCATATGAGTTCTCTGATCTACCTAGTCATTTCTTCCCATCATTTCACACACATGCCTTCTAGATCATTCCCTTGTAACTTGACCTGTAGAAATTGCCCAGTTCCCTGCTCAAATGCCAGCTCCTCCAGAAAGTTTCCCCCAACTACCATGTCCTTCATCTATCTCTTCTCTCATTCCCTGACTCATACTTCACTGATGAAACTGAGGCCATCAGGTTTGAATTTTCTTACCCAGCCCCTCCCTCCCTCTTCCCTTTATTCTTACCTGTATCCTTCAGACTTACTCCCCTCTCTAATCTTGCATCCACCATGCCATCTGGGTAGCACTCCAATATAAACCTCTCTTCTGAACTGCCTTTCCAGCTTTAGGTCCTCTAACTTGAGCCTTTTAAAATTTCTTATCATCCCTCTCTTCTCTCCAAATTCTGCCACCTGGCATTTATAGTTACCTTTATCTGGAATGCCCTTCTCTTCCTTGTCCAAACCAAACCAAATTCGTTGCTGTCAAGTCGATTCTGACTCATAGCAACCCTGTAGGACAAAGTAGAACTTCCCGCATAGGGTTTCCAAGGCCACATATCTTTACGAAAGTAAACTACCACATCTTTCTCCCGTGGAGCGGCTGGTGGATTTGAACTGCCAACCTTTCAATTATCAGCCGAGCGCTTAATCACTGTGCCACCAGGACCCCTCTTCCTTGTCCAGCTGGTGAAATTATCCTCCTTTATGGAGCCTTCCCTGTCCTCGCCCCAACCTTCAGGCAAAATTAGGTACCGCAGTCCGCAGTTCCATCGGGCTCACCCCTTTGTTAGAGCCGCATTCTGTACTATTACCATTGCCCATGCATGTGTCTGTCTTTCTCACTAGTCATCAGCTGTATCTTGCTCATCCTTTGGCTCCAAACTCTAATCCCATAGATTACAACAGAGTAAACTGACACCTATCTGTTTGCAAAATGAATTAATAAACTAATCTTTCTATTTTCCAAACTCCTCTCACACTTCTAATATGTTTTACACAATTTAGGACTTAATCATATGTAGTCCTAAGTAGTGAAATATTGTTTACTATTTCCTTTCTGCATACTTTTTCTTATGACTCTCATGGGGTATTATGAATGCCTTCAAATAAATATTTACTAAGCCTCTATAACGTGTAAGACACTATGCAAGGTACCTCAGAGTTTACACAGATGGCAAATACATAGTTTCAAAATCTCCACCCTCAAGGGGCTAATATCTTATTAAAGAGGATAAAAGAAGTAGACAAATAATTCAGCCATGTAAATTAAGATGATTTAATTAATAGAAAGCTTCACAAAGAAGTATGTGGATTCAGATAAGGTAAACCTTGAAGTTTCACAGGCAGAGATGTAGGTGGAAACTGTGATAGGTAGAGTTTTTGGCTATGACATTTGCATGAATAAGAAAATATAGGGAAGAGGTCCAGTTTGTCTGGAGCATCTAGCGTTATAAGGGAGTAACGGGGAATGAAGAGACATTCATACCATATCTGGCTTTGCGTATCAATTCAGCTGACAGTGGGCATACATCAAATACTTCTGAATGGGGATGTAGCCCAATTGGAATTGTGCTTGGCAGATTAACTTAGACACAGTTCTGGAAAGGAAGATCCTACAAGTGAGTGGCTATAAGCGAAAAGTACCTAAACCAGGCCAGGAGCCATAAGAACCTGGACTGTAGTAGCAGTCAGATCAGAAAAGAAGGGAATGCTGGGAGGTGAACAGTCTTTGAAGGAAAGGGCAATATCCTTTTAGCATCTAGTAAGATGCCCAGCACACAGTACAGGATAAACAATTTGATGGATGCTACCAGAGCCTTTTATTTTTTTATTTTTTCTCATACAAAAATTTATACATACATTGTTATGTGACTCTAATTGCTCTCCCCATACTGTGACAGCACACTCCCCCTTTCCACCCCTGATTCCCCATGTCCATTCAACCAGCTCCTAACCCCCTCTGCCTTCCCATCTCACCTCCAGACAGAAGCTGCCCGTTTAGTCTCTTGTATCTGCTTGAGCTAAGAGGCACACTCCTCACGAGTATCACTTTATGTCCCACAGTCCAGTCCAATCCCTGTCTGAAGAACTGGCCTCGGAAATTGTTTTAGTTCTGGGCTGATAGACAATCCAGGGCCACCAGAGCCTTTGATTTTGTAGTTCTCTTGGTTTGTCTAATAAAAAGGTAATATGCTTTGGTTTTTTTCCCCCAAGGACGATATTTTATTAATAACACATATTCTCATAGAACTTTTTATTTTCTTTTTAATTTGCAGTTTTTTATTTATTAAGCCATACTTTACATAACAACATATCATAAAATTCACAAATCTTAAGTATATAGCTCAATAATAATAGATTTTTTTTACCTTTTAAAATCTCTGACAATGCTTTCCTAAATAAAATAAAACATATTTGTTATATAATTCTAGAGTATTAGTTACATAGAACTGATGGTACAGAACTTAAAAACAACTCCTGTGATTTGTATCAGTAATCATTGCTAAGCAGCTTCTATATCCATCGTTTGAGAGACATCATAGCAATATTCTGATATCAAGTTGATTTTTGGGAAGAATGATTCCAAAGCAATGAATAATACTATGAGAACAAATGAAGAAGCCCTGGTAACGCGGTGGTTAAGAGCTACAGCTACTAACCAAAAGGCTGGCAGTTCGAATCCACCAGCTGCTCCTTGGAATCCCTATGGGGCAGTTCTACTCTATCATATAGGGTTGCTATGAGTTGGAATCGACTCAACGGCAACAAGCTTTTTTGTTTTTTATGAGAGCAAATGAGGAGCCCTGGTGGTACAATGGTTAAGTGCTCAGCTGCTAACTGAAAAGTTGCCAGTTCGAACCTACCCAGCAACTCCATGGGAGAAAGACCTAATGATCTGCTCCTGTAAAGATTACAGCCTGGGGGGAGGGAGTGGAGCCAATGGCAGACTAGTCAGTCGCACTAAGCCATTCCACTGCAACAAAGACCTGAAAAACCAAGTAAAATAGATACAGATGTCAGTCCTGGAACCCTGAACCTTAAATGAAGGGATAAAGTGTTAGATTGGAAGTCCCTGAGGAGAAGAAGAAACTGATAGAAAATAGGGAAGGAATAGAAACACGGAGTGGAGGTTCCTGGCCAAACAATATGACTTGGCTTGACCATCTTGGAATAAAGCCAACAAGTCCACACACGGAAAGGCATCTCCATAGAATTCCCAATAAGAGATAGAGGTATGGTGTGGACACATACAGGACTAAGTAAGACCATGTTTGCTGGCTGCAACTCAAGGAGAAGTCCAGACTCTCACCCAGTAACCACAAGAGCACACTGTGGTGAACTAATCTCCCCTCCTGTCTGGTGAACAGTGGCTATAACCACCCCATCCACTGCCAGGAAACACAGTACCAACTCATCCAATTGCCCTCCTCCATCTAGCCCCCTCTGCCCCTGCCTTCACCCCCACTTCTACTTCTCCCCTCTGCCCTGCCAGCTGCAGCTCCAAGGGGAACCAGCCTGGACCCTAGGCCCCTCCCTGCTGGCTCCAGACCCCTCACACCACCCGCCAAGGCCCTGAGGGCACCCAACCCAGGCCCCAGGCCCCTCCTCGCCAGCTCTGAACCCCTCCCACTACCCACCACAGGCCTCAGGGGACCCGGCGGGGACCTCAAGCCCCTCCCCACCAGCTCTGAACCCTTCCTGCTGCCCGCAGCTGCCCAGAGGGGACCCAGCCTGAACCCCAGGCCCTTCCCCGTTGGCTCAGGATCACCCCCATGCTGTCTGCCACGGTCTTCCTCCAGCTCCTGGCCTAGTTCACGCTGCAGACCAATGTCCACCCCTTTCCACTCTGTAGGACCTGTCCTGCTGTACCATAGCTGAGCGACTGGCTGCACACCCAGACAAAATGGTGAGAACCATTGTGCCCACAGAGGAGCAACAAC